GAATGTGGTTCAATGCTTCAGGACCTCTGTCCACGAGGATTGCATGGTGAGTATACCTTGAAAATTTGTTCTGTAATTCACGATTTCTATTTTAGTTTATTCATGTAAAGTTTTGCCGTGTTTGTCATGCTAATACGTTTTTTGCATTTAAATAGGAATCTTTGAGCGTTTCCGTGGTATTCTTCATGAAGGAGAAATAGATAAACGAGTTCAGTTCTTAATTGAAAGCCTCTTTGCATTGCGAAAAGCAAAGTTTCAGGTGAGTTTGGTTTTAAATTGTTTTATGAGTAAGAAGAAATATTTGATTCCTTATTTATCAAAGCACAGAGAAATATTAGACCGCTTACATGCATCCTCCTCAGGGTTACCCAGCTGTGCGTCCAGAACTTGACCTTGTTGAGCAGGAAGATCAATTAACACATGAAGTCTCTCTCTCAGATACAATAGATCCAGAAATTACTTTAGGTATGTTTTATAATTGGTTTTTCATAGAGGTATTATAATGGACTGCTTTTTGTTGCTATTTTGTTTCTTGAGCAATTATATGGAATTTTGATTTTGATGTTGGTCTATATGCTCAGATATTTTCAAGCCGGATCCTAATTTCTTAGAAAACGAAAGGAAGTATGAAGAATTAAAGAAGGCAATACTTGGTGAAGAATCTGAGGAAGAAGGAGAGTCTGATGCAGAATCAGAGGATGAAGATGAAGATGATGAGTCTGACGAAGAGGATGAGGAGCAAATGAAAATAAAGGACGAGACAGAGACAAACTTAATCAACCTCCGGAGAACGATCTACCTGACGATTATGTCTAGTGTTGACTTCGAAGAAGCAGGGCATAAGCTGTTGAAAATCAAACTAGAGCCTGGTCAGGAGGTTGGTATCTTAATCTCTCTTCTTTTTTTGGCGTTATTCTACTCCTGTTGAGCCATGTCCTATGCATAACTGTATGCATGCTCACATGGATTGATCTGTACATAGATTTTCATGTGCTTTGATGGTCGAAAGATAATAATGTCGCTTTTGATTTGGTTGTCATTATATGGAAAAGATTAAATTAAAACAAAAACGTAGTTGAACTTGAGAAAAGATCTAGCAAAAATTTAAATTTTTGGATACAAAATAAAGAGTACAAATATCCAGAATTTAAGCTCTTGTTGAATTTGATTTTTCCTCGTATTTATCATGGATAGCGTAGAGACATTTCCATTCCATCATTCTCAAGAAAAGGACATTGCCAGTGAACCGTGCATACCATAAACCATTTTTCTGTGGTTCCGCTAAGATGATGGTTGAGGAATAGAGGTGGCAATGAAGGTGGGGGGATTATGTAATTGGCTTGCCTTGTGGTCAATGTAGGTGGAGATTCATGTAGCCCATGATGCAACTTCTAACATTGATAATTTGAGGAATTAATTAGCTCATGCTTCATGTGTAATAGTCATCGGGAGGACACAAGTCACCTGCTGCTTCACTGCAAGGCAGCTTTTGACTTGTGGATTCTTTTATATTCTCCTTTGGAATCCATCAGGTTATTCCAGCTAATGTTAGTTTTTCAATAAGTTAAATAGTTATTTAATAATGGGACTGAGGCGTAGTAGTAGTAGTAGTTGTTGTAATGGGAAAAACTCCCGTATACAAGCAGTATACTGTCCAGCTAATCTTAGTTCTCATGTGGAACATCCAGCAACGTAGAAAAAAGGGAGAAACTGGAAATTTGCACCTTTGTGTGTGGTCGTGGACTATTCTATTCATAAGATGAGTACAACTTTTCACCAATTTTTTTTATCGAAGGGGAGTATTCCCAGTATATTGATATCTTAGGACTGTATCAGGATGATTATTAAGTTTTGGTATATTAATTTTGACTTGTTTATTGCTTGTTGTCAATAAGTAACTTATTTTGGTAGCCTGGTACCTTGACTTGGTTTCTCTCGGAGCCAGGTTAAAATGGAAAATGATTTTGGCGTTGTAATCATTTTTGTCCTGAGAGAATATTGTCTATTCTTGTGTTAATGAGTGACTCTTTGCTTGGTTTTGGCAAAAAGAAAAGAAAACCGATTTAAATTTGTTTGATCCATGCAGATGGAGTTGTGCATCATGTTATTGGAGTGCTGCAGTCAGGAGAGGACTTATCTTCGTTACTATGGACTACTGGGGCAGCGTTTTTGTATGATCAACAGAATTCATCAGGAGAACTTTGAAAAATGTTTTGTGCAGCAGTACTCCATGATCCACCGGCTTGAAACTAATAAACTGCGTAACGTAGCCAAGTTTTTTGCTCATTTGCTTGGCACTGATGCTCTGCCTTGGCATGTTTTGGCTTATATACGGCTGACAGAGGAGGACACAACATCTTCTTCTCGTATATTTATCAAGATTCTATTCCAGGTATATAATTTGGTCTCTAATTTCTACAGCTTGCTTCATTTTTTTCTTTCAAATAAGTTATAGCTAGTTTGATCTTTGTGGCCTAATTTCTTTAGACCCTCTCTATTATATTAAAAGAATTGCTGTTTCCGAGTATTTACTTTCTATTTATCCACCTGCTTGAAGTCTTTTATCACTAAATATATCACCACATGTCAAAAGTTGCATTTTGACCACGTCCATCATCTTTTCTCCTGCTCTTTTCTGGGATTCTTGTTTTCATTTCTTTTTTTAGACGGCGGGGGGTGCTTGGGGGGANGGGGGCAGCAGTAATAGGACATTATTCTGTTAGCTTCAAATTCAATCTAGATGTGTCATTTATGCAGGAGTTGTCAGAGCACCTAGGCATCCGCTTGTTGAACGAGCGTCTTAACGACCCCAACATGCAGGACTCCTTCGACTCTATTTTCCCGAAGGATAATCCCAAGAATACAAGGTTTGCTATCAACTTTTTCACTTCCATTGGTCTGGGTGGAATTACGGAAAATCTGCGAGAGTATCTCAAGAACATGCCAAGGCTTATCATGCAACAACAGAAGCCTGTT